TCATTAAACACATTTTTATTTGCACTAAAAGAAATGAAGAAAATCTTAAGTATAAATTCGTATCTACTTAAATTAAGGAAACAAATACTAAATAATATGGGAATCAAGATGAAGAAGAGCAAAAAGTAAAAAATAATACCAGGTTTTGTGGCTTTGGAACTGTTTTATAAGTAGTTACTATTGTGTGCACTTTTCTGTTATTGTTCAAACAAAAAGTTTTAAAAAGCAAATTCTTTAATAATCTAAAAGAAGCTTTTAAGTTATTTTTTAAGCAGAACAGAAGATAATAACTAAGATGAAAATGTGTTTAACTGGCTGATAGTGAACATGGAGAATCCTTTGCAGGGTGCTGGAGTTTTAGAATAAAGCTTGTCAAAAAAACAAAAGATCCAAAACCCTAAGACCAAGAGTAAGAGTAATAAATAGGAGGGGCTAGCAGTTAAGAAAGTTTCTAGCTGTAAGTAACAGAAAACCCAGCTAACAGTGGCTGAAACAAACGGGTGTATTTTCTTCACAAAACGGGAAGTCCAGAGGTAAGTGGTTGCTGGCATTCATTCAGATACCAAAAGATGCCATCAAGGACCCCAGACTTTCCATCTTTCCCTCCTCCATCCTTAGCAAGTTGGCTTTCATCTTGATGCCTCGTATTCACAAAATGGCTGCCATCCTCCCAGGCATTTCCTCTGTGATCATGGTAGTAAAAAGATGGAAGAGGGCCAACACCCATCCATGTCTTTGCTCTTATCAGGAAAGCAAAAGCCTCTCATTGGCCAGAAATTCATCACATGACTATCCCAGCTGCCTCTGTAGTGGGAGTGGACAGGGGAGAAGGAAAGTTGAAAACAATTGTTGGGTTAACCGATGAACAGTGTCTGCCAGAAGGACACTGTCTGGGAAGTGTCTTGGAAGAGAATCATCTGTGGCTTGGTGCTGTTGGGAAAATGTAAGGCTATAGAACCATTGAGGGTATGGCTCAGGGCTGCAGACATCTCCACCAATAAAATCATTAAAGTTCTTGCTTGGTTAAAACACCTATGCAGAAGGCAAGTAGTCTTATTTTTCACTCCTAATAGGCCATAAACCAATTGCAGTGGAGTAGATTGAAACTCATGGCAAAGCCATGTGTTGCAGGGGCGAACTGCACCCTATCAGGTTTTCAAGGCTGTGGCCTTTCAGAAGCAGATCACTAGGCTTTTCTTCCAGGGCACCTCTGGGTGGATTTGAACCAGCAACCTTTCTGTTAGTAGTGGAGGGAGGGCTTAACCATTTGCACCACCCAGGAACTCCTTTTAATGGACCATAGACTTTAACTAATGCTATTTCCAGGCCTCAGTCTTTTCCACCCTAAAATGGAATAATATTTATTCCTTGCCTCACTTGGTAGCTTTTATTCAGTTATTCATTTATTCAGCAAATAAGTACTAAGTACCTACTATGTACCAGGCACTGTGCTAGTGCTGAGGATAAACAAATAAATAATACAGTACCCCTTCCTCCCAATGATTCACATTCTAACAGGGAAGGGAGACCAAGGATCATATGTATTAAGCACTGCTGCATGTTAGAGCATGCTGGGTGCTTCATAAAAAAAAGATAGATACGTAAACAAATAATATATACTAGGTAAAGTGGGGTAATAGAAGTATTCATGAAGTGCATTGGGGCAGAGAAGGAAAAATGACTGATCTTCCCTGGGGAAGTGGGGAAGGTTTTACAAGGAGATGAAATCTGAGATGGGTCTTGAAAATGAGTCTGAGCTTGCTATGCAAAATCATTGCTGGTGTGGGCAGGAGCTTCTGGTGGAGGAAATGTTGATTCAAAAGCTTTGACAGCCTAAAAAGGAATATAGCTTGTGCCAGAGAGAGAGAGTAGCTCACTCTGCATAGCCCTCGGGTGGTGGCAAGTGAAGTTGGCTAGGTGGTGTGAGCCGGGTTGTGAAGGAGCTCAGAAGCCATGTGAAGGAGTTCAGCCTTGGGGAGCCATTGGAATACAGGGAACGACATGATGGGATTTATGCCTCGGAAAGATCATTCTGGTACTCGTGAGGAGGGATACTGGGGTGGAGAGAGGCTGCTAGCAGAGAGGCTGCTGAGAGGTGTTTTTAGCAATCCTGGTGAGAAATGACTCAATGAAGGCAGTGAGATTGGTGGGGAATTCCAGAAAGATATGTGAGGTAAGATCAATAGCTTTTGGTGACTGGATACGTTAAAAGACAGAGAGGGAAGAATTAACAAAAAGCAAAAAGAAAACAAAACAAAACTGATGTTTCTGACACAGTATTTGGGTGGCACCATGGGCAGAAAGTGCAGAAGGAGCAAGTTATTGGTGAATGAGAATATGGCATCTGCTGAGCTTCATTTCAGCTCCGTGAAAAGAGGGAGCAGGTCTTTTATTCGGTAGTTTTGTTGAAAGTAATACTCCTCTTCCCACTGCCCCTCTACTCCCCAGCCTCACCCAGCTGTGATTTGGAGGGCATTTTCTGGGGTAAGCCTCAGAATGGCCTGTGGCTGCTCTGTTCCTGTGTGTAAAATGAAAACGGACGGCAGTAGTAAATGCAAACACAGAGGTGAGAAGAGCCACTCCCTGGTCGAGGTTTCGGGCGGCCACCTGCGCAGGGATATGGCTGACCTGTAGCGGGCATCCTTGTCGTTGGCTCTGACCCGTGTGTACACAGCTTGTTGGGTGTTCTTTCTACTTCCACTGCAGGGCAATCTTAGTAGTTTTAAATAGTTTTCTAAGGCTAGTGAAGGGAATTGGACTTTTTATGATTCTTCAGCTTCTCGAGTACATGAGTAATACTTGAATTATTAAGAGCCTTCTTTACTCTTAATTGCATCTGCTGTTTGGTATGTGACCCAATTAATCCATTCTTGTTGTGAATCTGTTGGAAGACCCTATACCCTCTTGACCTCTTATAATTATTACTGTCGTTCTTCTTTGAAGCACTGTTTTGATGACACACTTATAGGGAACCACTAAAATACCCTTTTGGCTCTGCGTGGCTGAAATGCCCACTGCTTGGACTCAAGGACAGTCATCTAAGAGTTGTTCTTAGCCTCAAAAATTCAACTGGCCTGTACCGCCCTTTCCGGAGTCCCCTCCCCACAACTCCACCCCTTCCTCTTTAGAGGTTTTTTGTCACACATTCCTACTTTAATAAGATGATAGTCTCTTTACCCTGAGACCCAAAGAGCAATGTTTTAACAAACAGATAAATCAATAAATGTGCTTTATCAATGTTGGGATTGCTGGCAGGTACCTCAAAGCAAACATTATTGCAATTTTACTGTTATCTCCACCCCTAAATGTGCGTGCTGTTTATTTCTTCAGTGCTTAGATTATACTACCTGGCAGATCTTTATTCAAATGAAAATTGATCCAGTTGGTTCTCTTATATACAGGTGGAAGCCTAATCATGCAGTTTTAACCAAATTGTGTAATAAAATTCTTCCTTCTGAGGATGTCTTGGTGGCCTGAGCATTTCCATCTGCTTGGATCTTATGAAAAGTTCTTTCCACCATTAAATTATCCCACATGATATCCAGTTTGATAATATACTACGCTTTAAGAAAATTCACAATAATTTACTGCAGTAAAGGACTCAGTAAATTATTTGTCTTGTTCTTTAAATTGTGTCCTGAAGTCTTATTAATGGCCCAGATACGTGTCTTTGTGGAAGTGTTCCTGTATTAGATCCCTAGGGCTGCTGTAACAAAGTACTACAAAGTGGGTGGCTTATAGCAATAGCTGTTTATTGTCTTACAGTTCTGGAAGCTGGAAGTTCAAACTCAAGGTGCCAGTGGGGGCCATGCTCTCACTGAAGGCTCTAAGGGAAGATCCTTCCTTGTATCTTCCTAGCTTCTGGTAGTTTCTGGCGATCTTTGGCATTCTTGGCTTGTAGATACATCATCACTCCAATCTCTGCCTCCGTCTTCCCTCTGTCTTTGCCTGTGTCTCTTCTTCCCTTTTATAAGGACACCACTCATATTGGATGAGGACCCATCCTACGCCAGTATGACCTTGTGTTAAATTAACATCTTCAAAGACCCTATTTTCAAACAAGGTCACGTTCACAGTACCAGGGTTTAGGACTTCAACATAGCTTTTGGGGGACAAAATTCAATCCAAAATAGTCCCTTTCTCTCTTGTTTGTACTTTCTCTGTCACCTATGTACTTACACTATGGTAGAAGGAATGTTTGTATAACCCATTACACTTCAGTGAGAAAAAATACACATGAGAAAATTAAAGGTACTCTTTTGATGATAATGAGAAAATAGAAATCTTATAAATTGACAAGAGAATGCATTAACTTCTATTTATTTCATTCATGGCAATGAATTATGTACAGTTAACTTGTGGCATTCACTGTTTTCTCAAATATGGTAAGACCTTTGAGAAAATTCTAGCTGTGCAATGTCGCATTTGGGACTTTTATGTGGAGCAGTATGCAGTGGCCATCACTGAGTTTGCTTAACAGAAGTTCCTCATTAAGCTTTTTGCATGACCCAAAACATAGGGCAAAGCTTTTCTTCACAAAGGGTAGTGAAAGCATATTTCCCTTTGATGACTTGAACCATTTAGCTTCACATCAGAGTCTGAGATTCACCATTCTTCATCAGTTGTCTTGTGGCAAGAGTCTACATTTCTGGAACTTTAACATGCAGTTCAACCATTCACCCCATTTAGCACAGTGCTAAACCATACTATCAGCCTAGCAGAGGGCTGAGTCAACTAATCTTTAATGATGAAAGAGAGAAAAAAAACGGAGATGTGACTAGAATTGGAATCAGTTTGCCACCACAAACTTTCAAGAATGGCCTTCTTAGAGACAGGAAATGAGCATGAAGACCAGAGGTGACTGGGACTTATTTGCAGTACTAGTTACTAGCCACATTCTTCAGAAAGCAGCCTCTGCTAAAGTCCTGAATTTTGACTTGAATGAAATTTGTCCATGTTGCTTTGTTTATTCCTCATGATATTTTGTTCTTTTGGCCCAGAAACAGAAAAAATAGTGCTAGAGGCAGGAAATGGATTGCCATCCTGGAAATTCAGTGACCAGCTTTTTCCCTGTGATGTGTGTGGGAAAGTGTTTGGCCGGCAGCAGACGTTGTCCCGACATCTCTCGCTGCACACAGGTGAGTGAGGTCCTCAGTTGCTCTGCCTTCCTTGCTCCGGATCACCTACTCATCTAGTACCAAGAGGCTGAGCTTCTCTAAGAGAATTATAACAGGAAGTGGTAGAAACATTTTTATCCTGACCTCTTGAAGCCATTTTACCTGGCATGTACAAATGACTCCCTGGAAGGACTTTTTTGTTTGTATTGAAAGGACTCATTGAGTCCCAAGTAGGGTAGATGAGAAAAGATACACATTAAGATATACCCAGAACTCTAAGCAATTTATTGCTCTCATCTTGAAGGGTTTATCTTATTGTCGTGTATGGGAGCACCTTGGCAGAGAAACCGTTGCTATCTTTATTTATTTGTGATAGTAGAGAAATATGTTTGGTTCTGAGTGTTGGGGAAGGGAAGGCAGCCAAGTTAAAAAGGGGTAAAAAGGAGAAATAGAGTCTCTGGGTGGTGCAGACAGTTAAACACTCGACTGCTAGGCCGAAAAGTTAGCAGCTCGAAACCACCCAGAGGTGTCTCGGGAGACAGGCCTGGTGATCTGCTTCCAGAAGGTCACAGCCTTGAAAACCCTATGGAGCAGTTCTACTATGCACACATGGGGTCGCCATGAGTCAGAATTGACTAGAGGGTAACTAATAGCAACAACAAAGGAGAAATAAATAGTAACTTAATCATTGTGTGTGAAGTATGTGAAGACGAAAAGAAGTAGGGAAAATTGATAGTAAACATAAGGCAAGATGGAAATAATCCAAATCGAATATTCCAAGTTTTACACTGACGATCTAGTAAGATCAAAGGGAAAAAGAAAATCAGAACTCAAATTACAAACATCTGGAAGGAAGAAAAAGAGACCACTTCATGCGTAAATGTGGAGCAAACATCTACCGCTCTAGTCAGAGGGAAATGTATACACTCAGATGTTTTAATTAGAAGATAAGAAAGACTAAAATAAAGGAACTTAGCACTCATCTTAAGGAATTAGTAAAAGAATAACAAAGGAATCTAGAAAGAAGGAAGGTTATAAAATAGACTACTCCCTTTAAGCCTGATTAAGAGAGGAAAAGGAAGCAAAAATGTTCAGATTAGGAATAAGAAAGGGAACCTAATCATTGATAAACTAAAAAACCAAACCAAACCCATTGCCACTGAGTCGATTCTGACTCGTAGCGACCCTATAGGACAGAGTAGAACTGCCCCATAGGGTTTCCAAGGCTGTAATCTTTACGGAAGCAGACTGCCACATCTTTCTCCCATAGAGCAGCTGGTGGGTTCTAACCACTAACTTATCAGTTAGCAGCCAAGTGCTTAATGACTGTGCCACCAGGGCTCCTCTAAAGAATTATAGGAGAGTAAGGACAACTCTATGGCAAAAAAAAATCTGATTTAGATAATCTAAACAAAATTACCAAAATTGACCCAAGAGGAAAAAAAATTTTTTTAATAAATGTCACAAAGGGAAAATTGGGAATATGATGAAAGAAATACTATTAATAAAGGCATTAAGTTCAGTAACTTTCCCAGGTGCATTCTTTCTGATCTTTTGAGAATAGGTAACTTAAATGTTATTTAAACCTTTCTAAATGATAGAAAAAGATGAAAAGCTCAACAATTCACTTTATGAAGGAACCTAAGCATAACACCAAAACTTAACCACCTCAATTATTAGTAAACCAAACACCAGTTACCGTGGAGTCAGTTTTGACTCCTGTCGACCCTGTGTGTGTCAGAGTAGAACTGCCCCATATGGCTTTTCAATGGCTGATTTTTAGGAAGTACATCACCAGTTCTTTCTTCCGAGACACCTCTGGGTAATTTGAACTTCCAGCCTTCTGGTTGCTAGCCCAGCACTTTAACTGATTGCACCACCAAGTGGCTCCTCAATTATTAATACAAATGCAAAAATTCTAAATAAATTACTATGTTTTATCTGCACTGTAAGGGCCCCTCCCTTGGCCCCGTGGAGCTGCAGACCCCTGGTACTTCAGACACTGGGGACCACCTATAATAATAATGATGCCGTATATTTTCTTAGAGAGAAACTTTCATGTGTTCTTCATGATATCCCTGTAAAGTAGACAAGACAGGTACTTTCTTTAACCCAAGCAATGCAAAGTAAGAAAAAAGGATAGAAAATGAAATTGTTTTTTTCTTCTTCTACCACAGCTATCCTTTATCTGTGCATTGAAAGCAAAGCCTACTCCTTTTACTTTAATTCGCTTGATTAATCAAATGAATTCAGAATGCTACTCTGGAAATGGTCCTGCAACATTCATCAGCTTTACGAGAGGGTTTCCATTAAGAAATTAATTGGAATTTTTTAGTTTATTTATTTAAAATGAAAATTTTCAATTGAATTATTTCACATGAGTCATTTCCCACCCACCCCCTCTAATTTCATTAGTTTTTAATTTTCTTGGCTGACCTAGGCCTGGAGCTTAGGGAAAATGGTGAGCCCTCTCTGACATTCCAGTGCTGTGAATGCTAGGTTTCAGTCCCCCTTCATGTGCTCAGGACCCCACCACCACAACTGATACGTGCACGCGCGCGCGCGTACACACACACACGCACGCACACACGCACACACACACACACGATATTCTTTTTACCTCTGTAGAGTTCACCTTATCAGGAAGAGGGGCCTGTAGGTGTCCAGGGAAAAGCTGATGGTGTAGTTGCCTTGGGCCTTTCTTTTGTCTTTGGAAGTATTAAGACAGGAGTGACCTGCTGGTTAAAGACTTGTGTTGTTATTGTTGTTAGCTGCCATCTAGTCAGCCCTGGCTCATGGTGACTCTGTTGAGATCCATAAGGTTTTCATTGGCTGATGTTCAAAAGTAGATCACCAGGCCTTTCTTCCTAGTCCATCTTAGTCTGGAAGCTCTACTGAAACCTGTTGAGCATCACAGCAACCTGCAAGCCTCCACTGACAGACGGGTGGTGACTGTACATGAGGTGCACTGGCCAGGACTCAAACCGGGTCTCCCACATGGAAGGCGAGAGTTCTACCACTGAACCACCACTGCCCCCTAAAGACTTACAGATACTTAAAATTCCAAGGCGTCGGTTACCTTTTTCCTCTTTCAAAATGAGACTTGAAACCATTCTTTCTTTCGATAGTGTTAAGCGATCTCTTGCAAGGTGTTGGGAATTCATTTTTGAGAATGGTATCTTAGTCATCTACTGCTGCTCTAACAGAAGTACCACATGTGGATGGTTTTAACAAAGAGAAATTTATGTCGTCACAGTCAAAGTAGGCTAAAAGTCCAAGTTCAAGGCGTCAGCTCCAGGGGAAGGCTTTTTCTCTCTGTTGGCCTTCTTCTCTTCGGTGTTCTCCTGGACTAGGAACTTCTTTGCGCAGGGACCCCGGTCCAGAGGACGCGCTCTGCTCCCGCTACTGCTTTCTTGATGGTATGAGGTCGCCAACTCTCTGCTTGCTTCCCTTTCCTTTTATCTCTTGTGAGATAAAAGGTGGTCCATGCCGCACCCCAGGGAAACTCCCTTTACGTTGGATCAGGGATGTGACCTGGGTAAGGGTGGTGTTACAATCCCACCCTAATCTGCTTTAACATAAAATTACAATCACAAAATGGAGGCCAACCACACAATTCTGGGAATCATGGCCCAGCCAAATTGATACACACATTTTTTGGGGGACATAATTCAATCCATGACAAATGGTTTGGGTTTTTTCCTGTTCTTTTTTTCCCCCAGAAGAAAGAAAATACAAATGCCATTTGTGCCCCTATGCTGCTAAGTGCCGTGCAAACCTGAACCAGCACCTAACGGTCCATTCTGTGAAGCTGGTGAGTACAGACACTGAGGACATTGTCAGCGCCGTCACCTCTGAAGGCAGTGATGGGAAGAAACACCCTTACTACTACAGGTGAGTTGTGGAACACTCTGGTCCACATTTCTCAAACTCCTTACTTGAAAATTCTCTACCTGTCTGCTAGGGACATATGTAACGAGGCCCTTTTCTCAATCATAATGCTGAACTTCCTTTTTAATGTTTTCTTTGCTTACATTGAACCCTGCAGTTGCACTGACTCAGCTCTTGGCTTGGGTGTCCTAGTAGAATTAATTGAAAGCGAAATGGTCTTGTAGGTGGCTCTGGGGTGGAGCTCCAGGGAGTGGCAGGGCTCTGGAGATGATTAGCTTTAAGTCTGTGCACCTGGAAAGCTCCCAAGCATTGTAACTGAGCACCTATCTGCTTCCTAGGAATTGGGGGGCGGGGGGATGGAAAGCTAGGAAAAATAAATCTTAGAACCCTGACAAACTAGCCCAGAAAACATTACATATTTTCCCTTGGTTGTGTTGTTCTTTAGTGCCTGGAATCTTATGTTTTTCTTCCATTTATCAACTGCCATCAAGTCAGCTCCAACTCATGGCTACCCCATGTATGTCAGAGTAGAACTGTGCTCCATAGGGTTTTCAATGGCTGATCTTTCAGAAGTAGATCGCCAGGCTTTTCTTCCGAGACACCTCTGGGTGGACTTAAGCATCCAGCCTTTCAGTTAGCAACTGTGCACATTAACCATTTGTGCTACCCAGGGACTCCAGAGCCAAACAAGACCAAACCCATCGCCGTCAAGTTGACTTCGATTCGTAGCAACTCGGTAGGACAGAGCAGAACTGCCCCCATAGGGTTTCTAAGGCTATAATCTTTATGAGAGCAGACTGCCACATCTTTCTTCCGCTGGTAGGTTCAAACCAGTGACCTTTCAGTTAGCAGCAGAGCACTTAACCATTGCACCACCAATGCTCCTTAAAAAACAAACAAACAAACAAACAAACTCATTGCTGTTGAGTTGATTCTGACTCATAGAAACCGTATAGGACAGAGTAGAACTGCCCCATAGGGTTTCCAAGAAGCAGCTGGTGGATTCGAACTGCTGATATTTTGGTTAGCAGCTGAGCACTTAACCACTGTGCCACCAGGGCTCCAGGGACTCCATAGTCAACTATAAATCAGTATTTACTTTTGTTGTTAGAAAACCTCAAGTTTCAGCCTCTCTCCTGATTCTTGCCCTAGCGATATGCTGCATATATTGTGGAGACTTGCTTTCGCACAGAATGTCTCTATGGAAGGGTAGCTTCTATCAGGAATTGTCACAAGTGCAGCTGGCTCTTGCTCAGAGTGCCATACGATGACCTTGTGTGTCTCCATTCCTGCACAGGAAGGATTCCAGAGCCTGACAGAGGCTCCTGGGGTGTGTGGAGCACTCCGGGTTTATCAGTGTACCAGCACCACTAAGTATCTTGGCAAGGCTGCGCTGCATCTCTTTGCCCAAAGGAATCAGTTAGGTGATGTGCAGCATCTGGATTCTGTAGTTTTTAATTAACTTTATGATTATTTTGTATCATTATAGCATGTATGGGATTGTTACATTATGCCAGCACTTAATCTCTTTGGCATGGTGTCCACTTCCAAGGCGTACCAGCAAGCAGAATTTTCTAGTGCGAAGCCTTTTGGGGGAGGAGAAGAATGTTTGTGCAACTCCAGTTTTCTGAGTGTCCTGCACAAAAACGGATAGCCTATGTTTGAAGTACATATGACTCTCCTCTGCCCCCCTCTTTTCTTTCATTCTCTCCTGTAGTTGTCATGTGTGTGGATTTGAAACTGAGCTCAATGTCCAGTTTGTCAGCCACATGTCGCTCCACGTGGACAAGGAGCAGTGGATGTTTTCCATCTGCTGCACTGCCTGTGACTTCGTCACCATGGAGGAAGCAGAGATAAAGGCTCACATCGGCACCAAGCACACAGGTGACCCCTCCTGCCCATCCTCCTCGCCTTGCTCTCCTCTATCCCCTGCCATCCTAGAGTGTCTGCCCACTTGGCAGAAGCCTCCTCACCTCTGTGAGACATCAGAGTTTCCCTCCGCAGAAGGAAGGACCTTCCCAGGGTAGCAGCACCACATTTTCCTTTAGCCACAGTGCCATTGTCAGGTACAGCTTGGGCCTCGCTGATCTGAAAGGCCATAGGCTCACATGCAGTTGAGAGGTGCTGGGCTGTTTGCTTGTTCCTCATCCTGGTTCTCTTCCTCATCATCATAGGTAGCACCCATTAAGCTTGTGCCTTTACATGCTGTATCTCATTTAAGCCTCATAACGACCCTCTGAGGTAAACACTATTATTATCACACCATGTTGTTGTTAGTTGCTGTCAAGTGAGCTCCAACTCATGCGACCTTAAGTATAACAGAACAAAACATTGCCCAGTCCTGTACCATCTTTATGATTGTTGATATGTTTCAGTCCATTGTTGTGGCTGTTACGTCAATCCATCTCATTGAAGGTTTCCCTCATTTTCACTGACTCTCTGCTTTACCAACTGTGATGTTCTTTTCTGGCAATTGGTCTTTCTTGATGACATGTCCAAGGTAAATGAGCCAAAATCTCACCATCCTCCCTTCTAAGGAACATTCTGGTTGTATTCTATGACTAATTTGTTTGTTTTTCTGCCAGTCCACAGTATATATTCAGTATTCTTTGCCATCCATTCTTCTTCTGCTTCCTTTTTCATTGTTGAGCTTTCGCATGCGTATGAGGCAATTGAAAAGACCATGGCTTGAGTCAGATGCACCTTAGTCATCCAAGTGACCTGCAACATGTCGTTTGATCTCTTGACTGCTGCTTCCATAGATGTTGATTTTTGATCCAAGTAGAATGAAATCGTTGAAATGTCAATCTTTTCTTCATGAGTCATGATGTTGTTTATTGGTCCATATCCCACTATATAGGTGGAGAAACTAGGCTTAACAGGTGAGGCAATCTGTCCAAGGTCACACAACTAGGGCGTAAGTACGGAAGCTCAGACCAGATCCGTTTTAATTCCAGAGCCTTCTTGCTGTGTCATTGCTGTTCTGACAGCTTCATGCAACGCTGACCACTTGGCAGAGGTTTGAACCTTCCTGTGTTGCTCTTCCCAGGCTCTGCACACCCATTTCTAGAAGTTCTGTTCCCCTCTCTCGAATCTGCAGCCTTGACACTCTCCATAATGACACATGCCATGTATGCTCGTCGGGGAGAAAAAACAAGATTCTCCTTAAACAATTCAGTCAGTTGGTAGGCTATGGTCAAGACTTTGCCAAGGCTCCCTTTTCCTTTAAGCCTCTTACCATTCTGGATAACTTCTTCCATTTAATGATGTTGACATTTTGACTTCATGTTGCAATTGTACTCTCACAAGTGATGGTTACAAATGACACGGCATGGAGTCATTAAGTGAGAATGAGGATGCGCTTCCCCTGCATTTGCAGGACATACACGTTGAGAGCTGATGCCGCTAACGGCCAGCCCTCGGTGTTGGGTCAGCCCCTCACATCATCGGCACTTGGAAGCCCCTGGACGGGGAATTTCTTTGACAGTTATGCTGACGATGTGCAGGCCGAGGAGGATCTATCTGAGCTTCTCTGGCTCCACGGTGCCAACAGCAATAAAAGCTTGTTTTAGTCAGTAAATTGAGCAGATATGACTTGGAGGTCCGCAGAGAGCCGTTTTGCTGAGTGAGAAGGTGCCATTTTTACAGTCGGTTGTCTGACCATAACCACATTAGCACTGTGGGCAGCAGGTGAGTTGGGAAGCCCACGCTGATGACAAATTAAATTCAGCATTTGTGGGGTGGCTAATGGAGGAAAAGGCCAGGTTCTCTTCCATTTCCACTGGCTCTTCAGATACTCTTTTTATCTCTTCTGCTACACCCCTCTTTTTGTAACCTTCTCCGCCCCAAAGGGTGCTTGAACCCAGCAGAACACCTTCCTTCCTCCCTGCTCCACAGCTCCCTACCCCCCCACCTCAAAGAAACCATAGAAACCATAATGACTGGAAAGACTTCGGATTTGTAATATCATTTGATTATTTGTCATCCAAGGAAACTTTACGTTCACAACCAACCATTGCAAATACATTCACCTCCTGATTGTCACAGGAAACACAGCGAAGGTATCACTCCCTCTGAAGTGGCGGGGCTCCTTGTTGAGCAGGGGAGAATGGTCTTATTTGTTAGTAGAGAGCCAAGAGTCAAATACATTAAGAAATTTCTTTAATGCTGTAGAAGGCTGTCATGGATTGAATTGTGTCCCCCAAAAATATGTCAACTTGCTTAGGCCATGATTCCCAGTATTGTGTGGTTGTTCTCCATTCTGTGATTGTAATTTTATGTTAAAGGGTGGGATTGTAACACCCTTACTGAGGTCACATCCCTGATCTAGTGTAAAGGGAGTTTCCCTGGGGTGTGGCCTGCGACACCTTTTATCTTACAAGAGATAAAAGGAAAGGGAAGCAAGCAGAGAGTGGGGACCTCATACCACCAAGAAAGAAGCACCAGGAGCAGAGCCCATCCGTTAGATCTGGAGTTCCTGTACGGAGAAGCTGCTAGTACGGGGGAAGATTGATGAGAAGGACCTTCCTCCAGACCTGACACGGAGAGAAAGGCTTCGCCTGGAGCTGACGCCCTGAATTTGAACTTCTAGCCTACTAGACTGTGAGAGAATAAACTTCTGTTTGTCAAAGCCATCTTCTTGTGGTATTTCTGTTACAGCAGCACTAGATGACTAAGACAAAGGCTTTAATGCAACTGTTACGAAATAAGGTTATAGCTTACCTTATAAGTCAAGGATTGGCAAATGACTTATTTTTTTTAATAACTTATTTTTGTTGTTGAGAATATACACAGCAGAACATACACCAATTCAACAGTTTCTATGTATACAATTTAATGACATTGATTACATTCTTCAAGTTGTGCAGCCATTCTCACTTTCGTTTTCCAAGTTGTTCCTCCCCCCTTAACATAAACTCACTGCCCCCTAAGGTTCCTATCTAATCTTTCGAGTTGCTGTTGTCCGTCTGATCCCATATAGACAGATCTTAAAAAAGCGCAAGGCTCAAAGCAGTCATTTACTAGTTAAGCTAAACTGTTATTTGGTTTTAAGAAGATTTTGGGGAATATTTATGGTTTAAGGTTTAAACTTTATCTCAGGGCAGTAGTTTTAGGGGCAGCCATTTCTTTTTAAGAGGGCCAGGTAATAAATATTTTGGAGTCTCTGGGTGGTGCAAACAATTAAACAGTCAAGTACTAGCCGAAAGGTTGGCAGTTCAAACCCACTCAGAGGCGCCTCAGAAGACAAGTCTGGTGATTTGCTTCCAAAAGGTCACAGCCATGAAAACCCTGCAGAGCAGTTCTGCTCTGCACACATGGGGTCGCCTTGAGTCAGAATCGACTTGATGACAACTAACAACAGCAAGAAAATATTTTAGGCTTATAGGCCATACAGTCTCCATCACTACTGCTCAGCTCTGCCCTTGGGTAGCCACAGGCCATACGTAAATTAATGGGTGTGCCAATATTCCAATAAAACTTTATTTACAAAAATAGAAGGCCAGAATTGGCCCTAGAGTGTAGTTTGCTGACCCCTGTTATAAGTTAATGGTCTCAAAGCCAGGGTTTCCTGTAGTTAGCTGATGTTTTGAGGTGTTTGAATTTGATACAAACTATGTCAGTCTAAACTTATAAGTTAATAAGCTGTATCATTTCAAAGTTATGATATAAACAGCAATTAGTAGGTTATACAACGTATAACAGCAACAAAAAAAACCCATTGCCATTGAGTCGATTCTGACTCATAGTGACCCTATAGGACAGAGCAGAACTGCCCCATAGGGTTTCCAAGGAGCGGCTGGTGGATTCAAACTGCCGTTTTGGCTAGCAGTCGTGGCTCTTAACCACTGCACCACCAGGGCTCCGTAAACGTTTATTTCTAAGCATAGGGAGCTTGACTGTCGAAGTCACTACTACACTGCCAGCGCCTAGAACAGCCCCTAACCCCTAGAGAGCAAATGTTCACTCAGTGAGTGAATATATGTGTACAAGCTCATCTACTCACATGTGTACGTGCTCGGTTAAGAAAATTACTCAGGCATGGTCATAGCCTCGATGCTTACAGTGTATTGACTTATTTACATAATCATTTGGAAGAAATTACTTTGTATGGAGGAAAAGATATGTTGAGTTCTAGACCTGAGTTCCAGACCCAGTGTTAACCATAAATAGCACTGTGAGTGTCAGAACTGTTTTAACTTCTCTGAATCTCCATTCTGGTTTTTTAAAAACAAGCAGGAGATGCCCTAGAGGCCTAAGATTCCTTAATTCAGTGACTCTGGTTCTTAATTTGATTTATCTGTTTCAGGAAAATGCACATTGTTATTTTCAGCCTTTTATCTCAGTACCCTAGGAAATACGCAGTGCAGTTTCTTGTTACCTAAGTGACATTGGGATCTATATAGTGAGCTTTATTCAACACAGCAAATTTTTCTTTAGCCTCCCATGGAACTCAGATGCTTTCTCACACTTGCTTACCAGTTACTCTTAACCCAGGGCCTACTTGTGAATGGGGCGCTTAGGAGGTGCCTGGTAACTGTCCCCTGTCGGGGTGTCTCTTCATAGTGATTTCTCTTTGGCCCCTTTCTCCCACTCCCTGACTCCTTGTCCCTGCAGAGAACATCAGCAAAGGAAAAATATTCGCTTTGGTGCTTGTGACTTCTGCAATGCAAATTTTGCTGCAATTTTGAAGCATTGCAACGAATGAGAGGAATCTGAATAGCTATATGGGAAATAAACCATCAATACCTTGCCTCACACCAACACCAGAAGAAGTTCCAAATGAAATAAAAAGCCCCTGTAACCAAATCAGCCCTAGAAAAGCTAGAAGAAAATAGAATATTTGTTAACTGTACAGAGTGACAAGGATTTGTAAAAGTGTGAAA